TAAATACCTAGTTCAAAAGAATCTATCTCAACTACTTTGGATGCCAAAAGAGCACAAATAGTAGAAAGCTTAGCTTCCTATTATCGATCTAATAATTATATCATATTCAATTATAATATTATCATCCAAAAAAAAAAAATGACCCATCTAAAAATTTTGCCAAAATTATTTTATCTGATACAAATATTCTAGTGGATAAATGTAATGAAAGTGAAAAAGTTTAAATTTTTAAATCACATTTATAATCATTCAGACTTGTATAAACAGAAAAATTGTGGAAATAATTAATTATAGAAGCATAGGGAAGATTAACCTTTTTGGCTCTAAGTCAATTATATTAATAAATTAATTCTTGAGTCGGGGATTCAAAAAGTCTCTGAAATTGTTTGGCATAAGATTGGTTGTTCATTTATTTTATATTACCTCAATTATAAGATTTAAATTAAATATAAAATAATCAAGCCTTCAAGAATTATTGTATTATATTATATTATTTCAAATAAATGGCTTTTCTAATATTATAAAGAGTGATATATAGATTTTTTATATCCAAAAATTAAAACTTAAATAGATAGTGAATTTTTCTTAATTTAATAATTTTTATAAACAAACTTTGGATACATCTCAAAAATGAGCAACAAGATTTAAAAGTAGTACGATAATTTTGAGGCTTTTGAGCATTACTCAAAAAGCCAGGTACAATTATTTGATTAGAGTCTTTTTAGTAATTTTTAATTGCTTTTAGAATGGAAGAAGCATTATTTGAAATTGATAATGCTTTGAATCTTGATCCTAAATTTGCAGAAGCCTACACCTTAAGAAGTTAAATCTTTTAAATTTAAATTTAGGTGAAATATATGAAAAAATGAATGTATATGATAAAGCATTGGAAAATGTGAATTTTAGCATATCTTTAAAAAATAATGACACCGAAAGTTATTATTAAAGAGGTATAAATTCAATCTTATAATTTAAGCAACAATTTATTGGAGAAAATAATTATTTGACCAAGCATTATAAGATTGTATGAAATGTATTGAGATTAATAAAGACTTTTCGATGGGCTACTGCAGAATGGGTAGTAAAATTATAATAAGTTTTTAGGCACTATTATGAAAGATTTGAAATAAAAGAATAATGAACTTAAATATTACAATTAAGCTATAGAAAAGGATGGAAATTGTTTTTAAGCATTTATTTGTAGAGGTAACATAAAATTTATATTATTAGGGCTTTATTATATGGATGAACAAAAGATTGATTATGCGCTAAGTGATTTCAATTCAGCTATTGAAATCAATCCTAAATATTGTTTGGCTTTTTATAACAGAGGTTAATTCTAATATACAAATATACAAGGAAATTTATTTACTGTTTGTGATGAGATAGAAAATGCATTAAATGACTATAATCAAGCAATCCAACTTGATCCAAAATTTGCAATTGGCTATTTTAGTAGAGGTGAATACAATATCACTTAATATTAGGAATTTTATATGATGATATTGGTGAAATAGAAAAAGCATTAAATGACTATAATTAAGCAATCCAACTTGATGTTAATAATGCGAAGGCCTATCACAATAGAGGTAAGAATTATCATACTTAATATATTAGGAATATTGTATGATAATATTGGTGAAAAGGAAAAAGCGTTAAATGATTTTAATCAAGCAATCCAACTTGATCCAAATGATGGAACAATCTATTACAATAGAGGTGAAATCTATAACACTAATATATTAGGAATTTTATATGCTGATATTGGTGAAAAAGAAAAAGCATTAAATGACTATAATTAAGCAATCCAACTTGATCCAAATGATGCCTTGGCCTATACTAATAGAGGTGAATATAATGTCACTTAATAGTTTAGGAATTTTATATGCTCTAATTGGTGAGAAAGACAAAGCATTAAATGACTATAATCAAGCAATCCAATATGATCCAAATAATTCAATTGCCTATTATAATAGAGGTAAATAATATTACACTGAATATATTAGCCATATAATATTATAATATTGGTCAGAAAGACAAAGCATTAAATGACTATAATCAAGCAATCCAATATGATCCAAATAATTCAATTGCCTATTATAATAGAGGTAAATAATATTACACTGAATATATTAGCCATATAATATTATAATATTGGTCAGAAAGACAAAGCTTTAAATGACTATAATCAAGCAATCCAATTAGATCCATTTTTTTATAATGCCTATAATGGAAAAGGTGTTATCTCCATATTAAAATTTTAGGTGTTGCTTTATAGAATTTAAAATAATATCAACAAGCAATAATCTGCTTTGATCAAGCGATTTCACTTGCTCCAAATTATGTTAATGCTTACTTTAACAAAGGTTTTATGTTAACTATATTTTAGCAAATTCTTTAGAAAAATTGAACCAATACTCTTAAGCCATTAAAACTTATTAAATAGCTTTGATATTAAACCATCCTTCTTAAAATTATATTATTTAAACAATCCAATTGCTTAGAGCATAATTATGAAAATTAACTTAAAAGCAATTTTTATATTCTTTTATTATTGTTATTTATGTAAATTGTTTACTTTAGTCTCATCAAATCCTATATTAAAAGATAGTTTACCTATATTTTTTTTACAATCTCTTATTATATTTCTGAAAAGATGCTTTGATATATATATATAATCTATATATTTATGCCTTTATATTAGTTATTTAATAAAAAAAATGAAATTTTGGTTTGAAATTATAGATAATAAATTAGAAAATTATTACATGCTTAATTTATGCTTTTATGGGAACGATTATTATAGTAAAAGGCTACTCTTAATAATTAAAATTTAGATTTGATGGAATATATATTTATAACTATGTTAACTTTTTAACAAAATTTTTAAAGAAGTTTTATCTTTTTTTCATTGTTCCAAAATTGTAATCTAATAATAATTAAGTTTCTGACTAATTTAAATTTAATGCAATAACATAATTATCAAGTTTATCTTATGATTACATTTTATCCAATAGATTTTTATTAAAAACCCTTTCTTACTTGAATATGAATTATCATTATCATCAGAAAATAGTATTTCTTCATTTGAATTTAATCTATTACACATTACATAAATTATATGTTATTAATTATTTTTTTTAATTCATTAGAATGTTTAATTTAAACTAATTAAGTAAGATGACAATGTAAAGCAATTTAAAGAAAATACAAAATATTTTGATAAACTATGCATTAGTTTTGATTAATAAATGAAATCTTATTTTAAGCGCTTCAATTTAAGAAATTATTAGGATAATTGAAATATTTTAAAGTAACTCATCTAATCTATAATGATTTATTTGATTCAAAAAAAGATATTGGGGTAATTGAGCTAAATTTCTATTTCAATAATCAATTACTTAAAAGATGGTGATCTTTGTATTAAATTTAGGATATAGAATACTAAAATAGTATTAAATTTAGAATATATTCAGACAAAAATAAATATACTTTTATCAATCATAATTATATTAGATATTGAATTAATAATATTTTATATCAGGAACTAAAGTAGATATGCTTAATCTACCTCGATTCATTTTTTTAGAATTTGTTTCAATTAGAACTTAATATTATCAATAAGGTAGAAATTATATCAAAATTATTACAAACTAAAACTTCATTTTTATTTAACTAAATTCTGTTAAAATAATGGTTTCATCTTAGTGGTCTATTAATTAATGATAAGTAATCACTTTTTAAAATTCAATAATTTATATATTCTATAAATTTATGATTTAAATAAGTATTGCTTATTTTAGATAAAATTTGCAAATATAAATCTAATTTCATAAAACTATCTACATGTAATTCAAAACTATCGTTTAAATATCTTTTTCGTTATAATTTATTAGATATTTTCCATATCCATATCAATGGATTTAGTTTTTTATAAAATTAAAAATATTTAAGTTATTAATATAATAGTAAGCATATGTTAATGATTATTTAAATAAAACAAGGAAAATTATCATGTTTCAAGTCTATTTATTAATAAAGACTAACCTTTTATGCTTTTTGTATATATTTAGTTTTAGTGTATAAAAAATGATAATTTTGATTATATTAATTACTTTAACGAATGGAATTAGGAAGTAATATTTATAATCAAGGCTAAAATTTCATTGAAATTAAAGCTTATTATAAATTTTCATGAGTTTTTAAATTTATTTTTAATTATTTTAATTAATTGTTGAATCATAGAGTAGATAAAAAACCAAAGATCAAGAATTTTTCATTGTTTAAGTATAATGATTTGAGGAATAATATACTATTTATTGAAATTTCAAATATTTTTAATTTAGATTAATTTTTAATTAAGTGGATATTTCATACAGTAACATTTTAATGAGAAAATGTAATTTTCTAACTTTGTTTATAATTAAAATTTCTTCAAAAATAATAACACTTACTACTTTCAATTTTATAAAAACTAATCAAACTTTTAGAGATGCAACTTTTAAATGATTCCTCTAGATATTATGAACCAAGTGAAGTTTAATATTAATGTCATCTTTTACTGTATTTTAGAAATTTTAAGAAGTTTTTGGAATTCATTCAATTATTGAATTTAAATTGAAAGAAAAAAACATATGATTTGAATAAAAAGATAAATTTTTAGTTTTAGTTGAGAATATCATAATTATGAGAATAAAATGATTGATTTTAAATTTTCTGTGATGAATACAAGAATATTATTCTTAATAGATTTCGTTATTCCCTTTCATATTTTATGTTTCAATCATCTATAAATACAATCTAAGTACCAGATTAACGAGGATCAATTAAAAAACATGAAATATATATAGATTATACGTTTTGATAAATAGAAATTTTCCATTATTATTCACAATAAATTTTTAGAATTTCCGCACCTAAAATAAAGCTCAAATATAAATTTTTTGGTTTTGATAATATAAATTCTACCAAGGTTAAATGATATATATTCAACTCATATACTCATTTCCCAGAGCTAATAAAAGGCCTAAACTTTTAGGATTGACATATAACCATCAATTGAATTACCCAAAGATTTAATTCTAACTTTTTATACTATTCGATCGGAAAATTTTATTATGACCACTCCTTAAGCAAAACCTTCATATATTTTTACCTCATCGCAGTAAACTTCAAAAATTATGAATTCTAGTATCATAATTCCAAAACCGAATACGTATAGTGTTAATCTAATAGGCCTATGTTGATGGAAAAATCATAAATTCATTGCGATCACACCTAGCATGACCAAAATATACTTATGAAAAGTAAAGATTGTTTCTTAAAGGACTTTTTTAATCTCCATTACCAAACAAATAAATTTAGCGAGCATTCTCTAAAAAACCACCATTTTATTCTGATAGTACATCCCTGTAATGACCTCTTATAAATGATGTGGAAGTATCTCCTTAACAATTATATGTTAAAGAAAAATTGAATACATTTAAGAAAATAAAGAGGATTATAGTATTCATTAAATAAAATATATAAAAATTTGACTTTAGGTTAGGATAACATTTATAAAAAAAATATGGAAGTATTGTTTCAATTAACAAATTCATATATCCCAACTTAGCATTTTTTCATTACTTCTGATAACTTTTAATATTTTTTCATTAAATTAAATCAACTAATAGGCTGATATATTGCTATACAACAATATTTTGATTTTTAAACTTAGCCTAAATTCAATTTTATAAAAGAAAACTAGGAAATTATACAATATGTAATACTATGTACTAATAACTTATATAATTATAACAATTATATTAGTTATATATTTAAAATAAGATTAAAAAATTATACACATTTCAGAATTCTTAAAAGAATTTATCTTTAAATCAATGAAATCAAAAGAAATCTTATTAGTAATTATCAATAGGAATTCAATGTTATAAACTAAAGTTTATTATTGGGCTTAAAAATTTATAATCCACTTAATAGAATTGAGTATCTGAATATATTTAATAATAAAGTATTATTTGATTATGTAATTCTATTTATAACTAATTGTGTTGTTGATTATATCAAACTCTATATTCTTATATTCATTAATGAATTAATTTGAATTATGATAAAGAAATAACATAATTTTATAAGGTATATTAATTAAATATATCTTCGGTTCTTTAGAACAATACTTTCTAATTTTGAACAATATATTTAAAATCCTCATATATTTAAACATAGGTAACATAGGATTCATTTTATCTTTTCAATTTATTTTTCTTACATGCTAATCTTTATTTGTATCGCTTTTTCTTCAGGAATATAAATTAAATTAGTAAGATCTTTTTTGAATTTCCTAAGGATAGTCATATTTAGAATGATCTAAGTACATGAATCTGAGAGAATTTAGGGTAATCTTTATCAAGTTTATTATTGACTTGAAACATAATTTTGTCATTTCAAAATCTTAGCTTCATAATAAATTAAAAAATACTAAAGTACTTATCATATTTCATTTTTATTTGAATTCCTAGCATTTTATATTAAAAATTATTCATTTATAATTTAATCATTTGATAATTTTGGTAAGTTTTTCTTCATTATTTACTATCTTGTTAAAAATTAGCTTAATTTAAATAACCAAATAATCTGAAAATATATTATAAAATTTAATCCACTGTAAGAGGAAAATTTAAAATGGAATATAGAGTGGATATTTAATTTCATCAAAATATGCATGCTTTTGCTTAAAAAAATGAGGGATTTTTTTTAGAGATTTAATTTAGAAAATAAATGGATCATATGGTTCTTTAAAGGATAATTCTATATAATTAAGATTGATGAAAAAATCTAAATTAAATAGTTTAAAAATCTGGTGTTGTAATTTAGATTATAAAAGTGTTTATCAAATATGAAAATATTGAAAGAAAAATATCGATAGTAATTTAGGATAAAGCACAGCAAACTATACCAGAAATATAGAATTAGATGTAATCGAATTTGAACTTATTCTAAATTAAATGATTTAAAAAAAACTTTATTTTTATTAAGATGACTTGGAATTTATGTTAATTCCAATTTTATTCTTTATTAAAGTATGAATGCTTGAATCTCAATTCTCATAAAATTCACTTTGAATCCAATCAAAAAAAATTGTAATTAAAGTTAAAAAAATTATTCTTTCTCAATGTATTATTAAGAAAAATCATCAATTATCATTTCAAAATATATTTTCTAGAAAATAAAAATATAAATTATATCCAATAATCTTAATTTCAATTTTTAAATAATTATTTGTTGTTTTACTAGTTTCAGAATTTTAAATACTTTAAATCTTTATTAGGCATTATTGCGATAATGGATTAATTTAATTATATTTTTTAATTTGTTAGAAAATATCGAGATGCAAATTAGTATTTATTGCTGCTTTCTCGATCTATGAAAAAGAACTAAAGATAATGAAGATAATTATTTTATCCAAAAATTTGAAAACTCATTTTAAGATTCACTTAAATGTAATTAAATGTTTTAATAAAAATTTAGAAATAAATATTAGATATTCTCAGAATATTGCTATAAATTTTCTGTTTTCTGCAGTAATATTTTTAATGAAAATATTATTCCTAATTTAACTTATTTTTTTTATCTAATTTTATATACGATATTAGATATATAAGTAAATAAATTAAATGATTTCAAAATTAATTTAATATTTAAAAAATAGATTGACTGAGATTTTTAAATTGATTATCTCTACAATTTTAATAAATATATCATTATATATTATTTAAGATTAGTTATATTATAAATTTCTTTTTTAAAAACACTTTTGATCCTTTTAGGATAAAATTGTTTGTCTATTTATAGAGATATAATATATTTTAACCTAATACAAAAAGCAATAGGGATAAAATAAAAATAATTGAAATTTTATAAATAATTGCAATCTAAACAATTAATAAGCTGAAAAATAAAAGTCATTTTGTTATAATATAAAAACTTGCCAAGTTAATGATCAAGAAATTATAATGAAAGTTTATTATTAAAAAAAAAATAATAATGTCATTAAAACAAAAGAATTCTGCAAATGCTCATTTTCTTTTTTCAAGTATAAAATTATTACCATCGCTCTTTTTCAAAGTGTTTTGATTTCAGGGATATTATAGATTCTTATAATAGAAAACAGTCTCAATACATGTTTTAATAATTAAATTAATATATTTTATTTTCTAGAACAAAAGTGATTTTTAAATTCTAATTTTATTTTTTAATCAACTTAAAAAAGCAATTAGAATAATTTTTTAATTAAGACATGTCTCCACATTAATTAAATTTATTTTTTAAAATATTTTGTATGTTATTTTTACAAATCATTTACTAGACTATGCATTGTAATTATTACAATTTAATTATTAAAACATGTATTGAGACTGTTTGAATCTATAATAACCCTGAAATCAAAACACTTTGAAAAAGAGCGATGGTAATAATAGTAGATTTATGTTATTTTTTAGTGATGAGCATCAAAAAAAAAACTAAAAAAGAGCCAGCCTGCATCAGTAATAAAATAAAATATTGAATGAACAAAACTACAGAGAAACAAAAAATTAAGTATAATAAATTAATAAATAATAAAAAATTTACATTAACAAATAAAATATTATTAAATTATAAAGTAAAAACAAAAATAAAATAGCTAATTATGTCTAAATTTACACCATAGATTCTACAGATTTAAAAAATAAACACAGATTGAAAAAAATAACAGTAGCAACACGATATTTAAATCTAATGACTTTTGATAAAATATATTCTTTATAAACTATTACTTAATAATATTATTTTTATAATTGTTATTATCTCAATTATCATATATATTTTATGCTCTAAAATTATTTTAATTGTTTATTGTTTACAAATTTATCCAATAACCAATTTTATTCCCATTATTATTATATTGGCTAATGTAAGTAACTTAATAGTTATTTTTAAATTCTTCACCAAATCAGTCCATTTTCCAATTTTAATACCATTTTAATATTCTCCACCACCACTAATACATTTAAGTACTTTATATAAAATATTTTACATTTGTTTAAATTCAACTTTCTAATCTTTTCTAAAGTTAATTACCCATGGACCCACTTTTACACCATTTTGATAATTTCCCTTATAAATTACTTATTTTTCAATATTGAATCTATTATCCAAATCAACCCATTATCCAATTTTAATCCCTTCTTAATTATATTCTCCACCACCACTAAGTACTTTATATAAAATATTTTACATTTGTTTAAATTCATCATTCTAATCTTTTCTAAAGTTAATTACCCATGAACCCACTTTTATACCATTTTGATATTCACCATTATAAGTTACTTATTTTTCAAAATAAAATCCCTCATCTAAATCAATCCATCTTCCAATTTTTATACCTTCTTGATTATATTATCCACCACCGCTATAATTTTTAGTTGAGAACTTTATATATTATAATTTACATTTTTGAAAATGATTAATTGATTTCCAATCTATACTTAATATTCCATCTACCAGTTTTTTTTCCATTTTCATAATTACCAGTCATAATTACTTATTTAATACAGTTGAATTCTTCATCCAAATCGATCCATAGCCCATTCTTCAAGCCATTCCCTTTTTCATCATATTATCCTCCACCACTAATACATTTATAATAGCACACTATATAAAAGTATTTTACATTATTGTAAATTTATTAATCTCATCTTGTCTAAAACAAATATCCCAACTGCCCACTTTATTACCACAATTATATTCACCATTATAAATCACTTACTTTTGATTTCTAAATTCATCATCCAATTCAATCCATTAACCTATTTTCATATTATGCATTTCATTTGAATATTTTCCTCCACCACTAAATATTAAACAGTAATGTACATCTCAGCCTTTTTATATATATATTTCCATTTTCCTACTCTATAATTATTTTGATATTGACCGGTTTCAAATACTTTGGCTTGGCTATTTTTAAAAAATTTTTAATTTACCTAAAATAATTTTTAAATAATTCATTCCATAAACCTATTTTCGATCCATTTTCATAATACCCCTCAACATTTTACAATCTTCTCTAATTCCAAAAGGCTTTCCATTTTCCAAATTTTTTATTATTAGTTCCTTATTCTCCTTTCCATTCCAGCTTCATGATCTATTCCAAATTATAAAATATTTTGTCATTATAGTCGGGNACTTTTATACCATTTTGATATTCACCATTATAAGTTACTTATTTTTCAAAATAAAATCCCTCATCTAAATCAATCCATCTTCCAATTTTTATACCTTCTTGATTATATTATCCACCACCGCTATAATTTTTAGTTGAGAACTTTATATATTATAATTTACATTTTTGAAAATGATTAATTGATTTCCAATCTATACTTAATATTCCATCTACCAGTTTTTTTTCCATTTTCATAATTACCAGTCATAATTACTTATTTAATACAGTTGAATTCTTCATCCAAATCGATCCATAGCCCATTCTTCAAGCCATTCCCTTTTTCATCATATTATCCTCCACCACTAATACATTTATAATAGCACACTATATAAAAGTATTTTACATTATTGTAAATTTATTAATCTCATCTTGTCTAAAACAAATATCCCAACTGCCCACTTTATTACCACAATTATATTCACCATTATAAATCACTTACTTTTGATTTCTAAATTCATCATCCAATTCAATCCATTAACCTATTTTCATATTATGCATTTCATTTGAATATTTTCCTCCACCACTAAATATTAAACAGTAATGTACATCTCAGCCTTTTTATATATATATTTCCATTTTCCTACTCTATAATTATTTTGATATTGACCGGTTTCAAATACTTTGGCTTGGCTATTTTTAAAAAATTTTTAATTTACCTAAAATAATTTTTAAATAATTCATTCCATAAACCTATTTTCGATCCATTTTCATAATACCCCTCAACATTTTACAATCTTCTCTAATTCCAAAAGGCTTTCCATTTTCCAAATTTTTTATTATTAGTTCCTTATTCTCCTTTCCATTCCAGCTTCATGATCTATTCCAAATTATAAAATATTTTGTCATTATAGTCGGGTTAGTTTTGGCGGGATAGACTTAAAAATTTAAGTCATCTTTTACCTTCTCAATGTTCTGCCTTCGAATAAATATACTATTTGGTTTTGATCGATTCTTTCTTGAATTTTAACTTTTTAGAACCTATGATTTATCAAAGCCCACTTATAAACTTCGTTATCAGTTGGAATTATTGGTTCGATGCAAAATTTTTTATTTTATGATTAGGAAATCATGAAAAAAAAAATAATAATTCAATTTCTATTACATTTCTAATTTAAAAATGAATGGAGTTCAAATATAATTATTTATCTCTTATTAAAATTATATCTATAATCAATTTTCTATTAATTTTAACTTAGCAATCCTTATTGTGTTATGGTGGATAACAAATACTTAAGGACAATTAATTTAAATTGGAAAAACTAAAGAAAAAATTTTTTAATTATAAAAATAGAAAATTTTAAGTTATTTAAGAGCAAGATGAAGAACCAAAATTTAATTTAAACCAAATTAAATGATTTATTCCTTCATTTTTCATCCAAAAAGTAAAATTACAAATCCTTATTATTCTGATCTAATCATATTTAATAAAAGAAGAACCCAATAATTATTCAATAAAAGTAACATGAATCAATTTCTTCTTTATTTTAGCCCAATTCCTAATTTTATTAAAAGATATATCTTTATCTGGATTGATAGTGTGTAGTTTATTAATTATGATTAAATTAATGTATTGGATATTGATTTTGAACTCAATAGTTAAAATTTATTTTATTTTTTAATCAAATATATAAGTAATTAAGTAATTTTTCTATTTTATTATGTAAAGAATCAGAAACATTGTAAGTTTGATATGGAAATGATTAATAAATAATATTTCAGATGAAAACTTAAAAATTATTAATGGGAATTTAAATATATTGATATAGCAAATATCTTAATTATTAATTTTGAAATACATAATCAACTTCGTTTATAACATATTTCTAATTTATATCTTTGCTTTTCATATATCAAACAAAAATAATGAATAAAGATTTCAAATATTTTGGTTATCATCTTAATATATTTAAAATACAAGTTTTTTTTAAATTTTGATATAAATTCAGCCATATGCTTTTACATAATTATTTTCCTACTTAAATATTTATTTTAAAAAATAAAATATCCTTTCCAAAAATTGTCCAAATGACTTTTGAAGAGGACCCAGACAAGACAAGAACACCACATCACTTGTTGAGGAAGCTCCCTGCGAAAGTAGAGCGCTTTGTGAGCACTATATGCTGACTCTTCTCTCCAAAAAACCCTAGATGGTCTTCTAGAGATGCTGTTCCAAGAGAATAACTAAGAAACGCTCTAAAAATTGATCTTGAAGAGAATTTGTTGACACAAAAAAGAAGAGACTGACCCTCAATTGTCAAAGGTATCATAGACACAAGGGAATAAGACGACTAATACGATAGATGAACAGAACCTTAAAAAAGCGATAAATGAATGTCTTCTCTCGACTGAAGGCAACTTGTTGACTTTGTTAAAGAATGTTAAGACAATTTTTTCTTTATTAAATGAGATGAAGTAGAAGATAAGATAAGATTGACACTTGCAGGAACTTTCACATCCAATCGGAATTCATCGACAAACTATCCCTCATTAAGGGCTAAAACATCACTCACATTTCTTTTCAGAGAATAGTGTTGAATTTGAATATAAAAAAAGAGAGATCGATACAAGCACCTTAAGGAGCAAACAATAAAGTGAAGATGAGGATCTTTATCAAAACAGGAGAAGAGTTTTTCTGCTACAAGAGAAATAAATGGATCAAATTTGACCAGAGCCTCGCAGAGAGTGATAGGAAATGGATGGAAATAAATGAAATAGCCAATTGGACATAATATGAATTAATAATATCTGATAGAGAAGTTATGAGAATAAATCACATGTTTCTACAAGATAGGAAATCACAGCTTATTTATCTGAGAGCCTATATGTATCAATCACCGAACTAAGAATCGTGGTCATAATAATAATTGGATATTGAGATTCAGAGAAGGAGATGACCGCAACTTAATGAAGGCGCAATTTTGTAGATGAATATTTCCGGTCTAACAAACTCGATACCTCAATATGAATTGGAATAAAAACACCTTTTGTACTAATTTGTTTTATGGAAGGAAAGTAGCCCTAGGAAATTATTGCAAAGCAGCAAGGAAGGGGCTTGCACTTAAATATATTACTCATAATCGACAAGAATGAATAGAATATAAATACTATTTTTATTATTCCTTCTATATTTTTCTCATATTATTCGTAAGTGCGATGTTTTTCTATCATTCTTTCTACTTTTTCCTTATCTTTATATTTTTAGATCCATACTTAATTACTTTTCTATAAAACAGTTCTTATTTTACTTAAAAATAATCTCAATTATATGTTATGCTGATTCTCTTGCATCTTAATACTTACATTAATACCCACTATATTTTAATCATTATTATAAGTTTTTTACAAGATTTTTAAGGTTTTATTCTCAGGATATTATAGCATTTTCTATATTAAGTCTTATTATAAAAATGAAAATTATATATTATGAGATTTATTAATTCACCTCTGCCATTCAAGACTAAATATTTTTCAATATCTTTTTAATATATTGTTAGAACAAAAGATTTATGTAAATAATGAATATTTATAAGAAGAAGCTCAATGCTTAAGATTATTCATGAAAAATAATTAAACTATGAAATATGAGAAAGCTTCTATTATTTATAGTTTTTTTTAATTTTTTAATTTAAAACAACTTAAGAAGCTTTAATGATATTAATAGTTTTAGTTTACAAAAAATTTGAGTTTGAATATTTTAGTTATAATTCTCCAGATTTAATCGTCAACTTATTCTTTATATATAAATACTAAACTAAATAATAATTATATAGAGAGTTGAAAAGGTTTAATAAAAGAGAAAACTAAGATCACTGAAATCATTAATTTGTATAATATTAATATCTTACATTAGATAAAACAATTTTCTCACATTTTTAACAATTTATTTTGAGAAACCAATATATTTTTATTTATGAAAACTTATGTTATTATCAAGTAATTCATTCTAATAGCTCTAAAAAAAACTAATTAACCTTTAGAATACTTGAAAGCAGTGAGAAATGTGAGATATTTCTTTTTATTAAACTAAATACCCTATATAAATTTGAATTAATTCTCAAATTATTTAATATTTAATTAAATGCATAAACCAAAAATGATAGAAAAAGAGAAAGATTTTTATTGTTCTAAAGGACATAATCTACCAGCTATTATAATTTCACTTGATCCAAAATTATCGATGGATTAGAGACTATTTTGCAGAGAATGCTTAAATAATACTGTAATAAATAGCAAAGTTGTAAGCTTATAGAAAATTAATTCATTAATTGAAGAAAATTAGATAAAGAAGATGGAGATTGTAAAGAACTAAATAGATTTATTTGAATCCTTACCTAGTATTGCTGATCGAATGAGAACTATTGTAATTTAAAAATTAGACTTATTGAAAAACTTAACGATGGAATGGCTTCAAAATCTATAATGCCAACAATCAAAATATTCTTAATATAGTTTTTTTGAGGAATTTGAAATAATGTTTTTCTAATCAAATAACACAAAGTTCAACTCATTTGTCGATGAAATGTAGAAAATGAATCTCTGTTGGACTACAAAATTGAATCCTAAATTAGAATAATTTAATTAATTTACTGAATATAAATAATATAAGGAACTGTTGTCTAGTTTAGAAGTATTTTTTTAGAAATTGACTTAAAGTGATTAACTATACCAAAAAAACTTATAACAAAAAATTTAAGAAATACTATTACTAAATACTAAAATGAATATTCCACAATCATAAACCATTTAACTTAGTCAACAATCTATTAATAAACCTTTCACATATTAAGTTATCTAAGAATATTCAATGTCATAAAATAATTGGTGTAGTGCATTAGCCATTAATAAAGATTGTTCAACATTGTTAGCCGGATCTAATTCATAGATATAAGTATTTGAATTTAATAAAGGAATGTTGAAACTAATTTAATCTTTAAATGAACATAAGGGTTATGTGAATACTTTAAACTTCATGAAGTCATCAAATTAGTTTATATCTGGGAGTCATGATCAATTTATCATAATATGGGAAAAATAATAATAAAATTAATGGATTTCTAAATAGAAATTAAATGGACATCGTGGTTATATCTTTTGTTTAGTATTAAACAATAATGAAAATCTAATAATATCAGGGAGTACAGATAAATGTATTAAATTTTGGATTAAGAAGAATGAATGGACATGTTAGTAAACAATTAAGGATCATACTAGTGAAGTATATTAATTAAGTTTGAATTAATAATAAAATAGATTGGTATCTTGTGGTTATGATGGTTTAATAATAATAATAGAACAATCAGAATAGAATTAAGAATGGATTGTAAAATAAAAGATCGAAGTTGAATAATTTGGATACAGAGTATGTTTTATTGATAATAATATGTTCACATTCTCACCAAATAATACAGAATAGATATCTGTTTATAAGTTGAATAATTAATTTATCAAGACTTATGATATTCCTGTAAAATGTGGATCAGTTGATTGTTGTCTTTTTCCTTAATAATATATAAATTCTAAATGTATGCTTGTGAGTAAGAATGGTGAATATGTCAATTTCATTAAGAAAAAAGAAAATGGAGACTTATTAACTGAATAATCTATACATTTTGGAACTTATTTTATTTATGGAGCAATTAGTGATGATGGACAGTATTTCATTACTTGGGATTCTTAATCAAATTAAATAAAAATTAGAGAATTCTAAGAACAATGAGATATATATGTATAAGTTCATATCAAAAGTATTTTTAATAATCCATATGCCTTACATTTTATTAAATTTCTGAAAAAGTATGTTTTTGTATTGTTTAACTCTATTATTATTTACTATTAATAGCATTTATGGGATATAATAAATTATTTACTTCATATTTCTATAAGCTATTTGTAATTAGTTAGCTATATGTAAATTATAATTGATATCAATACTCTCGATTTTATAGAAATTAAAATTTTTTTATCAGATAATTAATTCATTTAATTATTGAACTTGATTATCCATTTTGACTTTTTAATAAGCTAGAACCCTGATGTAATAATTATTTTAGCCTTTACTTCTTTTTCTAGCTAATTAATCAATAACCTAACTACTTGATAATGCTTAAATATTATAATCAATTAGTAAAGCACTTTTATAATAACTATCAAAAGTTAAAAAAGAGAAGGATTTGAAACTTTGCGGACAATTATTATTAATAAATAATAATTTTTAAACGAATTTTCCTGGTCTACGATTATATAGAAATCATAATGACCACATAAAATTTACAAGCAGTTTATCGAATGATTAAAATCAAATATTTTATAAATTGACAGAAAATTCTGATTGTAATTAATAACCATTTACAGCGTTGCTTAAAAAAATTGGTTTGATTTTAAGCATTTGATATTTATGTAATTTACCAATTAATATATTATGTATTGAGATATTCAGACATTATAACACTTAGTGATATTTAAATGGTATTCTAATTAGAATATCGGAGTTTATTTAAATAATAAAGTTAAACTCTTGTATTTGCTCTTTTGAAAAAATTCCCAAACTTAAATTTATATTTGAAGATACTATATATAAAATATATAAAAGTGCTTGAAAATATTGTTATCCAGGAGAAATTTTAGTAAAAAAAAATGATTATGATCCTTCATAAGTAAGAAATCACTTGAGATCCAAGCATGTTATTTATATGTTTTTATAACAAATAGTTATATGTGTTTATTGAGATATAGAATTGAGAGTATATGATTTAGAATTACTTTTTTTTTTGAACAAATTTACTCAGAAAGTAGATAAAAGTTTTTAATAAGAATGATTCTTAATTAAAATATAACTGATTTATGCAAGGGTGAATAAAATATTATTTGAGGATATCATAAAAGTAAGAATATTCTCAGGTATGTGTCAATATATCTTTTCTGGTATTTTTCCTATCTATTGTAAACTGAGTTTTAGGATTTTTTAACTATTATTTATATCTAAGAATAATCACTTTAAATAACATTATTAAAAAGAGTTTATTTTAATTTATTGAGTTTGAATTTCAAGAGTCTTATAAATCACCACCCTCTTAAAACAGTACACTATTATAATATTTTAGATGGATGTAAAGAAACCATTACCTTTTTTATAGTTGCTTTAATTTTGAAATTATATTTTATTCATACTCCATTAGATCTAAGTAAATAGAATTGAAAATAAAGTGATGGCTGAAAAGTCAATGATATACTTATGAAATGCAATTTTATAAAGTTAAATCCTAATTTATTTTCAATTATCTATAGACATGAGTAAATTTCAAGTATTATTTTAAACACAGAAAATTTCTCAGAGTATTTGTTTATAGTTTATAAGACTGAAATAAAATTTTATTGTTATCAAAATTACCTTTATTAATAGATTCTCTTCATGATGAACTAAAAATTACTATTGATTAATAGGAAAATGGCTTGATTGAAGTATTCTAAAATAATTATTTGAGATTTATTTAGTATAGAGATTTATTAGTAAATTTGGATACCAGAATAATTTGATAATTAAAATATAACAAATTATGATAGTCAAATTAGAAATTGGAAATATAATATCAAGCAAATCTATCTAATTATTATAATTAAATTGCTTATGATAGCCTCTTTTTGAGGTTCACCTTGCTTTAAAGTCCTTGATTTTGTTGAATATTTTTGATCACTTAAAAATATTCCTTATTATATTGATAAATAAAGAACTATATAAGAAAATTTATTAAATTAGAAATTTTGAAATTCAAATGAATAATAACGATTTTTTTTTAGGAAATAAAAGTTAGAGTTGAGATATTGGACAAATAGTTAAATAAGCAATAAAGTATTTATTTATATTATTTTAACACAGAGACGACATCCAAATTATAATCTCCTAATTTAATTTAATTTCTTTTCTTCCATCTTTAGTATAAATAAAACCTTAGTGAATTGAAAAGAAATTCAAGGATGCTAACTTATTGTCTAGGCATGAAGTTGGGAGGGGCTTCGAAAGATCTGCTGCCCTCCTTTCTTGTACAGCTGTAAGGAGATGCATCCAACCTCTATCTAAGAGATGACGTGAGGATGAAAAGTGATCTATCAGTAGCTTTAAAGATCGAGGTGCCTCAATATTATTTGATAGTTGCATGAAAGTAAACATATCTAGGCATCCTGAACTTTCTGTGCAATGGATCAGAAGGGTGCAATTTTTTATTCTAGAACTATTCTTTTTATAGAACTTTTATTAAAAAGTAAGAAAATTATGATATCATTACTGATAAATACCCTGGGCACAAAAAATGTTACAAGATCTAATAAAAAATTATTCTAAGATTAATCATATCAAAAATATTAAAATATTAATTTTTAGATTAATGGGTATATCTTTGAACTATGCCTGGTAATTATTAAATTTTGGAAGAGAAGAATATATTTCATTATTATAAAATTTGATTTATATTGATGATAAAAAAAAAAATTTTTTTTCTGGAATTATATTTTCATTTATTGAAATATTGATTAAAAAATAATCCAAAATAATTAAATAATTTAAAATAACATGAAAAGTTGAGTCTGATATGAGTCAATTTTTGTGAAAATAACTAGAACCTCTGATTTAATTTATATTCTAAAGAAATTATAAGTTAATAAAAGATGATTAATTACAAGAAAAAGAAAATAAGAGAATTAAGACTTATAATTTACTAGGAAAACAATTTTAGGAGATTATATGAGTCTAACATGAGATATTAATTAAGAATAGTAATTCTGGGAGAATATTAAATGTATTTGCTACATGTCAATCAATGTATCATTATAAATAAATGAAAATCAATATAATTAGATTTAATTATTGCATCTAGAAAANAATTTTGAAATTCAAATGAATAATAACGATTTTTTTTTAGGAAATAAAAGTTAGAGTTGAGATATTGGACAAATAGTTAAATAAGCAATAAAGTATTTATTTATATTATTTTAACACAGAGACGACATCCAAATTATAATCTCCTAATTTAATTTAATTTCTTTTCTTCCATCTTTAGTATAAATAAAACCTTAGTGAATTGAAAAGAAATTCAAGGATGCTAACTTATTGTCTAGGCATGAAGTTGGGAGGGGCTTCGAAAGATCTGCTGCCCTCCTTTCTTGTACAGCTGTAAGGAGATGCATCCAACCTCTATCTAAGAGATGACGTGAGGATGAAAAGTGATCTATCAGTAGCTTTAAAGATCGAGGTGCCTCAATATTATTTGATAGTTGCATGAAAGTAAACATATCTAGGCATCCTGAACTTTCTGTGCAATGGATCAGAAGGGTGCAATTTTTTATTCTAGAACTATTCTTTTTATAGAACTTTTATTAAAAAGTAAGAAAATTATGATATCATTACTGATAAATACCCTGGGCACAAAAAATGTTACAAGATCTAATAAAAAATTATTCTAAGATTAATCATATCAAAAATATTAAAATATTAATTTTTAGATTAATGGGTATATCTTTGAACTATGCCTGGTAATTATTAAATTTTGGAAGAGAAGAATATATTTCATTATTATAAAATTTGATTTATATTGATGATAAAAAAAAAAATTTTTTTTCTGGAATTATATTTTCATTTATTGAAATATTGATTAAAAAATAATCCAAAATAATTAAATAATTTAAAATAACATGAAAAGTTGAGTCTGATATGAGTCAATTTTTGTGAAAATAACTAGAACCTCTGATTTAATTTATATTCTAAAGAAATTATAAGTTAATAAAAGATGATTAATTACAAGAAAAAGAAAATAAGAGAATTAAGACTTATAATTTACTAGGAAAACAATTTTAGGAGATTATATGAGTCTAACATGAGATATTAATTAAGAATAGTAATTCTGGGAGAATATTAAATGTATTTGCTACATGTCAATCAATGTATCATTATAAATAAATGAAAATCAATATAATTAGATTTAATTATTGCATCTAGAAAATATATAAGGCTATGTATATACTTAAGTTTAATAATAACTTAGATTCTTCAGTTGTAATATATTTGGAGATGTGTAGGTGACTTAGGATTGGCACTAAATTACCAACCCAAGTTATTACAAGCTGAGCAAAAACATTATATAATTAAATGTTGATAAGCGTAATATTCTCAAATGTAAAATAATCAGTAAAAACTATAAGAGAAAAGCTTTCAGTAAAAGAGTTCGTTATAATGAAGAATTAAATATTATATTTCTAATATTATTAAAATACCTAATAGGAGAATTTATATTGTATTTATAAATAAAAGGTCTTTTGAGAAGGTTTAGCTTAGAAAAAAATCCCAATTAAGAATATTTATAATTTTATATTTTATGTTTAACAAAATTAATGGATTAAAAAATTGTTTTGATTTTTATTGTTAAAACATTTCTTCATTAGAAATAATCTAAAAAAGGATAAATTAAGAACTTAAATTTATTATAATAACAATCAAAAATAGAATAGAATAGAGCCTCTGGATAAGTAGTTAAACTAAATTTTCATGTAATTACTAAATATTGCAACATTCTAAAATTAATCAAATATTTAAATCAAAAAAGATGTAGTATTTATATACTAAAAGTTGATATTCATGCTAATGAAGTTGAATTTTCAGAAAATTGCAAACTTTAAGATACAAATTTAACTATTTTATGCAGATTTATAAGATAAAGTGCTGAAATATAA